AATGTGGTAGGAAAGCAGCAAAAGAATTATTTCGGAAAAATCAAGTCGCTCAAGCTGAAGTTCAAAAAATGAGCACACAATTGGACACATTTAAGCAGTACCTTGCTGAGAAGGAAAGAAAAAAGATGAAAAAGAAGAAAAAAATTTTTTCTTCTCTTTCATCTTTTTTCTTTTCCTTCTCAGCAAGGTACTGCTTAAATGTGTCCAATTGTGTGCTCATTTTTTGAACTTCAGCTTGAGCGACTTGATTTTTCCGAAATAATTCTTTTGCAGCTTTCCTACCCATAAGCCTTTTACCTTTTGTAGAAACACTGCCCTCACCAACAGTTGGATTGTTACCAACACTTGGACTGGTGTCATCTTCAAGAGAAATGCAGTTATCCATAGGAGAATCGGGGGCTGAATTAGGAGAAAACGGTGTATGTATTATTGACTTCACCGTGTTCATAGGAGTTACATCTTGCCACCTTATATTGTTTTGCAAGATTGGCCAACAATGTTCAAAAAGAAAATGTTTGTTTTCATCTTGATGGTATAACAGTTTTGCTTGAAGCATCTACATCAATAAAATATTAAATTAATTAATTAGTTAATTTTTATGTAAGACAAAATAAAAAAAAAAACTAACATAATAAATGGAAATGAAATCTTACTATATCAACTTGTGACGCCCCACTTGGATGTAGATTTTCAACTTGCGCTATACACCCACGAAATTTGTTGCAACATTTCATAATTACACCCCATCGAGATGAGATAGACACTTGTATTCTTGAGTGATCATTCTGCAATGAACAATAATTTTCAAAAATTCTTCCCCAAAAATGAGCATGCGATTGCGAATTTTCAACAATTGGGTCTTCAGTAATGTGACACAAAGCTCTACAAATTGCCATATCTTCTTCAGTAGTGAATGATTTTCCTCTCTTTGTTTTTGATGAACCTTCCATAGTGATTGGCCGAAAAAACTAAAATATGACCGTTTGGAAAAAAGAGATGAGAAAAGAAATGTGCTGTGAAGGAAATTAAGATTGAGGTTTCTATTTATAAAAATGCAAAATATGATCGTTTGAAAAAAAAAATATTACCGTTAATTTATAGCTGATTTTTTTTTTTTTGGATTTTTTTGAGGGGTTTTTTCAAGCCAAAAGAGCACAAAGGCTCTTTTGCCTTCCCAAGGTAAATCACCACCATCTACGTAGATGATTTCCAACGGATGAGATATGGATATCCAGAATGATCCAACCCTTTACATCTCCCTTTCACTCTTACTTCTCTCTATAATCATCTTCCTCTCTTTATCATCAAGATAGACACTTCAATCTTTGTTCTCCGTCTCTATCTACCCCCGCACCCCTTTCTTGATTTCACTTATCTCTCTCTCTCTCTCTCTCTCTCCCTCTCTCCTACAACCCAGATCTTTGTCTCCAAATCTTACAAACCCACCTCAATCGATCATCCATGTCTCCAAATCTCACAAATCTACCTCAATCGATCATCCATGTCTCGGACTCATTGGTTAAAGAGGAGTCTCTGAATATGATCGACCTTGGTTCTGAAGAATTTGGGTAATTAGTCTTTGGATTTGATCTATTTTTGTGCTTGTTTTTGTGGTTTAAAGTTGTTTTTGTTTTGTTCTTAGTTTTTTTGTTGGTGGGTTTTCGGTGGTAGGTGTTCTCATTACAGGATGAGATGCAAAATCAGAGCCCCCTGTTGTGATGAGATCTTTGATTTTAGACATTGCCATAATGAAGCCAAGGTCTGTTTCTCTCTCTTAATTTAGGTGGGCCCAACTCCACAATTTGATCCACAAAATTAAGAATTTGACACCCAAATGATGAACACAAACCAGATCATCCGAAGAACAAAGAAGATTCAGGTATTTTTTTTCCCTCACTGTTTTGATTTTATAATTTTTTTTAATTGTTTGTGAAATTGATGGTGCAATTGGTGGAATTGATGAAATTGGTTTTGATTTGTGAAATTGTTGGTGAAATTGGTGAAATTGATGAAATTGATTTTAATTAATTTTCTGTGTTGATGAAATTAATTGTTTGGAAACTACTTCAAATTGGTGAATTTTTTTAAAATTATTTTCTTTTTTTGAATTTTTGAAATTGTTGGGTGAATTTTGGAAATTTGGAAATTGTTGGGTGAATATTGTTTGGAAATTTGGAAAGGATGATGAAACTGTGTAGTATGAATATTGAACTGTGTTTGGAAAGGATGATGAAAAAGGGAGACAGGGAAGGAGGAGGTTAGTTGAAGGTGACTTGGCAGCTTTGGTAGCTGCCAAAGCTTGTGCCATATTTGACACAGGTTTTGGCATTTGCCAAAGATAGCAGCTGCTAAAAGTTGCCATTGGAGCTGCCTTTCTATCCACTACTGCCATAATTTGGCAATAGCAGCTCCAATGGCACACCATTGGAGATGCTTTAAGCCATGAGCATATTGGGAGTGGGCCAGGTCCATCTCTCATAACTTTTGACCAATCATAGATTATCACATGACTTCGGTAACAGGGCCGGCCTTGAGTTTTTGGGACCTAAAGCGAAATAATTTTTTAAGACCTTTTACATATTCATAAAAAATAAAAATAAAAATCATCCTATTTGGTTTAGAATTTTCAAAAATAATTATTTGAGTTTGCAATTCGTTTTTTTTTTTTTTTTGTATATTTTTTTGTATTTGGCAACTTTTTATTTTTATTTTTAAAAGTACAAATATTATAGTTTTTAAGTGTATCTAAATTAGACGTATCTACAAACTAAATAAATAAAATTGCATAAAACATTTAAAAAAACCACTAAAAAACACATAATTTGGCCATAAAAAGAGAAGAAAAAAAAAATAGGCCCCACAGACATACATATATTTTATATTTTATTTTTTTAATTGGGCTAACAACCAACACTTATAAATATTTTTTAACTGGGTTTTTTATGAATTGGGCCAAGTAGAACTTTTGAGGCATTTTAAAATGACCTAAATTAATTAAACAAAATTGGGCCATTTTGATTTTTTTATATAGTACAAGTACAAGATAACCAATTTGGGGGCCTTTTTTGGGCCTAATTATTGGGGCCCTAGGCACAGGCCTCACTGGCCTTAGCCTAGGACCGGCCCTGTTTGGTAATTGGAGTTATTTAATAATGGATTAAGGAAAATCCTCATTCATGTTTAGTTTGTGTTTTACAAACCAATTTCAGATTTTTTTTTTTTTTGAAAACTAGTTTAATAAAAAATAAATATCAAAAATATAATTTTAAAATTTTAAAAATTATTTCTAACATCCCAAAATATAAAATTATATAAAAATAATAAGTGTTTTTGTTTAATTTTCTTATCAAATTATTTTGTATTCTTTTAAAAAGAATCTAAAATGAATTTCTAAAAATCAAACTAAAAATGGTCCTCATCTTTTATTTTATTTTATTAATAACATAATTTTTTCTTACGAACAAAAAAAATTGCATATTTATTCAAAGTGGAAATTGTTGTTTAAAATTTATTAACATGTTCATAAATTGGCTTAACTCATTCATATGCACGCATAAAATTATCTTGTACTTGTCAACACAAAATCGGATTTGCGGTCACTACTATGTTGTATGCATAACAGACATGACTGTTATGCATATTGTCAGGCCGACTTTGATTTTTTTTTTTTAATAATTGAAGTCATTCATTCATTTATTATTTATTTATTTATTTATTATTGAGTATCGAGTAAGATATATTTGTAAAAAATTTAGTTAATAAGATAAAATC